TTTGGTTTTTCGAGACAGGGTTTCTCTGTGTAGCTTTGCGCCTTTCCTGGAGCTCACTTGGTAGCCCAGGCTGGCCTCGAACTCACAGAGATCCGCCTGACTCTGCCTCCCAAGTGCTGGGATTAAAGGCGTGCGCCACCAACGCCCGGCTAGGAGCAGTATTTCTTAAATGATCAGTTAGTGAATTCTCTGAGTTGTGTTACACTTCACAGTTACATGCAGAGCTAGGGGGTTGCTTTGCAGCTACCCATGGCACTCGACTGTCTCAGTATTCCATTCTCATCCACATCTGACACTGGAGTTTTAAATTTAGTCATTCTAGTGGGCTTGTCATGTGCAGATTAGCAAGGTTCAGGCTGATGTTCCTTTGTGACTGATGATGTTAAATATTTTCAAAATAATTACTAGCAATTTTTATATCTTTATTTAAGACCTGAAAATTTTAAGCTAATTATCTTACTGAGGTTGATGCATTAACAACTATCTCACTAAAGAATATAACGATTAATATATACTATATATTTAATTAATATACTAATAAATATATACTATAAAAATTAATATATACCACAAATGATATAGTAATTAATAATGACATATAAGTTATACAAAGATTATCTGTGGCTTGCTTTTTTTATTTTTAAAAAATGTATTTATTTTATATGTAAGTGTGTCCCTACATGTGGGTATGTGCATATGAATGCAGGTGCCTACAGAAGCCAGAAAATAGCATCAGATCCCCTGTAGCTGGAGTTGAATCTCCTGATATGGATGGTGAGAATTGAACTCAAGTTCTCTGCAAGAGTACTATGAATTCTTAACCACTGAGCCATCTCTCTAGCCTTCATTTTATTATATTTTCCACTCAAAATGATTTTTCAAACCAGTGTATGCCTTTTTTCTATCATAAACAATTTTAGTTGGATCCTAAGGAAAACCAGCAAACATCTGACTTGTGAGATTTTAACCCTCTTTTTCCCAAGATGTTTTATGCTTTGTTCTTTGAACAATTTCAAAATAATTCTGTAATGCCATGAGGTGAGAGACATGGTTAGCCTGCTTCTTTTGCTGGGTTATGTACTCATTCTAATGTCAGAATGTCTATTTCAGAGTTAAAAGGCCAGACCTGTGGAGGTCACTGCTGGGTCCTCCATTGGTCCCACTAGTTCCTGTGTCTCCTGTCTGCAGGGCACCAGACAGAGTTAATTCTGTGACCTCATGGCAGGGCAAGAAATGAAGTCACAGCTCTCAGGCTGGTCCTCCTTTCTCACTGACATTATAAGCTTCTGTAGTTCCATACAAACTTCAGTATCAATGGACCCATTGCGGAACAACTGTTACTGGGACTTTGACATCTCACTGACTCTGCAACCCACTCCGAGAAGGAGGAGTTTCTCAATGACTAAGCATCTCAAGCCATAGCTTTTATATTTCCTTGCATTTTAGGGTCTTTATTGGCTTTACATACTGCACTGTGATTTTCAGTGTTATGTTTGACTCACTTATTCCTACTATTTTAATATTTTGATTATACTGTGCATGGCATACTTAGTGTTTTTAAATTATAATTCAGAAATGCAATGGGTTCTCCAAAGCAAGAACTTTTGTACTAGTTACTTTTGTTGCTATGATGAAACACCATGACCAAAAGCAACTTGTGGAAGAAAACGTTTATTTCTATTCCCAGCTCCAGAGGGATGAAAGTCCACAATGGCAGAATGGCAGGCCAGCAGGCAGTCAAACAGACAGCCAGAGCAGGCAGCTGGAAGACCACATTTCAATCCACCCCCACCAGAGTGAAGCTGGAAGCAAGGCAAGGCAATAAACTCTCAAAGTCCACTCCCCTCCCACTAACAAACTTCCTCCATCCAAAGTTCCAGAACCTCCCCAAACAGCGCTATCCCATGGGGACAAAGTGTTCGGATACACGAGCCTGTGGGGATATTACTCATCAAATCACAATGACTTTTTATCTTGTAGCCATATTAAGCTCCCATGCAGTGTTGAAGCACATTTTGAAGACAGCTTGGGCTTTTCGTAGACACTTTCCGAGTGTCTCACTTATCTGTCTGTGTGTATGGCTGTCTTTGCAAACTGCGGTCTGTGGTACCATGTTGAGTAGAAGGGGACACATACCGCCTCCCTTGCTCCTCAGCTTCAAAGCACTCGTGTTTCTTGCTGGTGACACATCTCTTTAACGTCAGTTCAATAGATTAAAGATTTCATCCTGCCTGCCTTTTCCTGGATGATCTTGACTAAGAAGTTGCGTTTGTTGCTGTCCTGTTTGGGGTTTTGCTGTTTGTTTCACAGTGTTGGAGGTGGACCTACGGTTTTGAGCATGCTTGGCAAGCGCTCTACCACAGAGCTACAACTCCAACACCAAGAAGTTGTAAATGTTGAAATAGTCATGTGATTCCCCCCCCCCTATGGTAAGTTCCTGCAGAGACATTGTCCTGTGTTCATGGATGCTCTGCCGAGTTTCATTCTCAAACAGGCTTGAGGATTTGGGTGTCTATGCTCAAGAGAGACATGGGCCTGCAAAACAGTCAAATCCCATGGAGTGAGCCTCAAGAAGGCAGCTTGAGTTCAACTTTTGAAAATCAGTTAGTGAAGCACATATTAATCGATTGAAATGGAAATACCTTTTTCATTACATGTGGAAAATTAGTTCCAGGAAGTGTGCAACTGCTGCTCACAAAAGCCCTTTTTGGCAGAAAATTCCTTCAAGCTGAACAGTGACGTAGCCGAATCTGCAGTCCATGCTGCATGCAGCGCCTGAAAGTGAAGCAGCCGAGTCTGCTGTACCAGGGCAAGGGTGAGCAAGGCTCCCTCCAGCTACCTGCCCAGAACAAGGGCAGTGAAGACACAAGGGGTCATCAGTGAAAATAAACGTTGGCATCAACATAACTGCGCTTTAATCAAGCCACAAAGAAGAATAAAATCATGCCATTAGCAGGACAGTAGATGGGACTCGACGTTATCCATCATGTTAGGTATAGTAAGCTAGATTCAGAAAGAAAACTATCACATTTTCTCTCACGTGAGGGATCCGGAAGTAAGAACAAGCGGGGAAGGGAAACCTCCAAAGAACAGGAGAGGATTAGGGGAGAAGAGACAGGGCCAGTGACAGGCAGGGGTGCTGTGGGATGTTTTGATCGCACTCTGACTCCTGAGACTACCAATAAGAGGGCAGAGCTGGCTACTAGCTGACCAGAATTAGCCACAGAGGTGGTGGAGGACCCAGGACATAGAGAGAGACACAGAGAGGGGCTTAGAAAGATTTTCCGGCCCTTTTTGATCAAGGAAGGAAAGAGGGAGGACGTCACTGGTCAGTTCTCTGCTGCTTCTCTCTCAATCGGGTTCTTAGCCTGATGTCTGACTCCCGAGTTCCTTTAATAATAGAGAAATACAAGTAATCACTTTACAGGGGAAGTAGGCATGCTCAGAGTTCTTTATATGCAGGTATGAAAATGCCATGATGAAGCCCACTATTTCATACCATTAATATTTTATAACTAATGAAAAAGAAGGCAAGTAAATCAGAAAAAAAGATAAAATTTTTGTGGACACCCAACCTAATAGTATACAGAGAAACTGTTTTTAATCTGCACAAAGCTAACATAATTAACTGCCTGATGCTAGGAAAGTTATTAAACATAAAGTCAGTATACAAAATTCACTTTTATTTCTCTAAAATTGTGATTAAAAATAAAAATGCATTTCAATAGCAAATAAAAAGCAAATAAGTAAATGAATAAAATGTTGCCGAATAATATTAATAAATACAGTCAAAGTTTGTACACCAAAAGCCCAAGAAAACAATTTAAAAATCTGACTGAAAGGAAAAAAATTGTAATATTTACAGACTGGATCAATTTCCACAAATTGATCTCTACTGTCAATTATATTCCAGTCAGACCTCAGAAGGCCTTTTGTAGAAGGTGCAAAGCTAATTCGGAACATACATGCAGTGCAAAGGACATGGGTTCCTAAGAAGGACTTTCTAAACGCAGACTTAACTGGTGTTGCCACTGGGCGGAGATCACAAACCTGGGATTTACTCTTGTTCATAAGCAAATGTGCCAAAGTGAAACAGAATAAATATACATGTGAAAATGAGGCTCTTCTGACTTCAGATTAGACAAACACTCCTAAAATGGAGCATGTGTGTGTGTGTGTGTGTGTGTGCGTGCACACACACACACACACACACTGCATACACTCGAAGAAATATACGCACAATCATCACCTAAACACATGATACCCATATACATGTGTGTACATACTCATGCCCACATGCACACATATACGTCCATATTCACACGCACCTGTTCATGTGCACACATACACACATATGCAAATACATGTGGCCACATGCATGCACACATATGCCCATATGCATACACTCATACACATAACTAACACCTAAAAAGCATTATATACATATATACATACATACACACAGTCATGCACAAACACACATACATACATGTTCATACATGCATGCATACACATACATGCACGCATAGCAAAAAAAAAAGGTTTTAAATCAAAATTTAAAGCCCAACTTAGGCTATGGGGAAATCTTCATAAAATGTGCATCTACTGGGAGAATGTGCAGAGATGACTGGCCACACTAGTGAAAGCCCTTGAACTGTGGACTGGTGGCTGTGGAGCCCCCATGGGACTGGATTAGACCCTCTGGACATGGGAGATGGTTGTTTGGCTCGAACTGTTTGGGGGGCACCCAGGCAGGGGGATCGGGATCTGTACCTGGTGCATGGGCAGGCTTCTGGGAATCCGGTGCCTATGGTGTGATGCCTTGCACAGCCTTGGTGCAGTGGGAAGGGGCTTGGACCTGCCTAGGCTCAGTGTGCTGGGCTCTGCTGACTCCCCATGGGAGATCTCGATTTGGGGGATGTGGGGATGTAGGATGGCTTTGGAAAGAGGGCTGGGGTGGGAGGAGGGAGGAGGGGGGTCTGTGGATAGCATGAGGAGTGAGTAGAAAATTTCTTAATAAAGAAAAATAAAAGAAAAATGTGCATCTACTAATAGATATGACCACAGTATGTCAAAACTCTTGCATATTTATTCATTTACTCATAAGGCTCTGGAAATCTTCTGAACCTGCGATTTTCCATGTGCTAGTCAAGTTTTCCACTATGGATCTATGCCCCCAACCCTTGAAAACAGTGATATGCTGGCTTGTTTCAAAAGATGCCCCTGGGATTTTGAGATTTTTCTTTTATGAGAGAAGGTTGCACTATGTACCCCCAGCTACCCCTGAACTCACAGAAATCTGCCTGCCTCTGCATCCTGTGTGCTGAGGTTCAAGGCATGAGTCAGATGCATAAGCTCCACACGTGGGGAACAAAGACTCTAAAGCTGTCACTGCACCAGAATGGAACCCAAGGCCCCGTGCACAGGATTAAGTGAGAACATATGAAAACCTGCCCAGAGCTGACATGGCTATGCATGTCTGTAATCCCTGTACTGGGAAATGTGAAGGCAGGGAGGCCAGTCAAAGATTTCAAAAGTGAGTGCAAAACTGACCAGCCTGAGATCCTTGATATTCTATCTCGGAAACCAGCCAGCAAATAAACAAAATACTTTCACAAGTAGCAGTGAAAACAGAATGCTATGAGAATCCCCTTTTCACACTTTATTTTAAAATAAAATTTAAAAAGTTTGCTTAGGCAAGCTGAGAGAGAAAGTCTTCCCCAAGGAAGAACACACTAACTGGTTACCCAATACCAAGTGGCCAGCCCTAAAAACGTACACACAAGTAACATTGCATGAATTGGTCAGGTTGTATTTATGTATTTGGGAAAATATAATGCGTGCGCGCGCACACGCGTGTGTGTGTGTGTGTGTGTGTGTGTGTGTGTGTGTGTGTGTGTGTGCATGTAACAACAATTAGTGAGAAAAGAGGCTATGAATTTGAAAGAGGAAGAAGAGATCTATAGGAGGGTTTGGAGGGAGGAAAGAGAAGGGAGAAGTGATGTAATTATTTTATAATCCTTAGAAGAATAATGTTAAAAAAGAAGAAAGGAAAAAGTCTGTCTAGGGGCTGGAGAGATGGTCAGCAGTGAAGCGCACTTGCTGTTCTGGCAAAGGACCCAGGTTTAATTCCCAGCATGGCACGTGACGGCTCACAACCACCTGCGACTTCAGATCCAGGGAACCTGACTCCCTCTTCTGACTACTCCAGCACACACACACACACACACACACACACACACACACACACACACACACACACACACAGCACATATACATACCTACAAGAAAGACACATACATAGAAATTACACAATTAAATAAGTACATAAATAAGGTATTTATACATCCAATGTGGTGCTTTTTACTAAAATTTCAAAGTTCAATCTGCTTTTCCCTAATGTCTCTTTCCCATCCATACATCAGTATTCATCTGCTGCATCATGTGCTCTCTCTGGGAGACCTGCCAGTCACATGAGACAGAAAATGAAACTGTACAGCCACTTTGTCCAAGGAATACAAAGTCTGAGGCTGACAGCTAACTCAAGAATTTATTTTAAAAATGAAATGCTAATCCATGTGTGGTGACCCATGTCTTTAATCCCTCCCAACAGAGGGAGGTGGATCTCTATGAGTTCAAGGCCAGCCTGTTCTACACAGTGATTTCCAGGATAGCCAGGGCTACGTAGAGAGACTCTGTATCAAAAAACAACCAACAAACAAACAAACAAACAAACAAACAAAAAACTGCTTTAAACATTCCTATCTACTGGGCCTTGTGTTAGTCACATGTTGCAGTAACAAAAATCACCTGACAGAACCAGCTTATGGAAAGGGGTTTATTTGGGCTCACAGTACAAGGGGAAACAGTCTGGAAGGGGAGGCTTGGCGGCTATAATGATGAGCCATGAATCACATTGCATCTGTAGTCAGGAAACAAAGACTGAAGAGGAAGTGAGACCAGGTTATGAAATGCCATGGCCCAGCCTAAGGGACCCACTTCCACAAGGCTCTGCCTCCTAAAGCTTCCAGAACCACCCCAAACAGCACCACTACCTGGGGACCAGGAATTCAAACACTGAGCCTACAGAAGTATTCAAAGCACAAGAAGCATTAAAATTTGGCTTTCCAGCCAGGAGGTGATGGCGCACACCTTTACTCCCAGAGACAGGTGTGTCTCTGTGAGTTTGAAGCCAACCTGGTCTACAGAGCAAATTCCAGATAGCCAGGGCTACACAGAAAAACCCTGCTTCAGGAAAAAAAAAAAAAAATGAAAGAAAAAGAAAAAAAACTTGGCTTCCCAGACTGATCTTGCTTGATGCTTGGGAGCACAAGTTGCTGTGGGGGAATATTATTGGGCTTGCACTGGCCACATGGTCAAGTGCACAGAAGCCCCCAGGTGGGTCTGGGAGTGAGCACCTGCAGCAAATGTCTATACCACGGCTGTTTCTTTCCTCCACACGCCACCCCCATCCCAATGCCTTCCAGAAAGGACCAGTCAAGAGCTAGGCATTCATTCCTTGTGTATGTATTCATTTAATCAATGCTTGTCTAGTGCCTACACTGGCTGGCATAGAGACCGGGGTAGGAAGTAAGGAGAGCCGTGAAGCCAGCAGCCATGTTGACTGAAACATTGCCTCTAGAAACTTGGAAAATGGAAGGCTTTACCGAAGGAAGCAGCCAGTAGGAGAAGCTCTGCTGTGGACAGGAGGGGACAGGCGGCAGTGGCAGTGTCCCAAGGCTGCAGGCTTACCAGGTTCACACCACAGAACAAAGGGAAGCCTTGGAAATAGGTTGCCCTGCTCTCTGCCTCTGCAGCAGGTTAATGGGGGGGGGGACTATGATAAAAGGCTTCTCCCCTGTGCAAGGCATGGGGACCTAGGTTTGCAAATACTCCATCCCTCTGGCTACAGCACGGACAAGTGGACAGAGCCCAGGGCCATTGTTTCAAGAAAGGCCCTGTGTTCCAGTCTTGGAGAGAGGGGTGGCCTGGGAGATACAAGGGCTGTGGCAGGGTCTAACCCTCTCCCTCCCAGCTTCTGCCTCTCTTGGCCTTTCAGATGCTTCCCCAACTTCCTGTCGCCTGGCATCCCCTCTCTAACTGTTATTTGAATTCTCTGAAATACCTTCACTGTTCACTGTGGTATACGGAGACTCCACACAGGGCAGGAGTAAGGCACTTCTCACAGAGGTGTGCAGGTGACCTGCCCGCAGTTACACCTCTTCTAGCAGCATCTGTGCCTGTCAGGGTTCCCCCAAATACAGTGTGGAGTGGAGCAGAGCAGGGCCACACCCCAGAGTTCCTGAGAGAAGAACACCCTGCCCAGGTCCTGCCTCGCCTCAAATAACACCCCCAAATCCATCAATAACACCCCCAAATACACACAGATGCCATTTGTTTTAAAGGTTAAACTGAAAACTCAATAAATCTTTTATTTATTTATTATAAGGAGAGGAGAGAGATGCAGAGTGAAAATGTTTAAGAAAGTGATTTATACAAAAAAAAAAAAATCAGACACATCCCGTAAGAAGCACATTATACTTCCATGCCTAGGATGCTCCTTTGTAAGGCTAGTGCCTAAATGTAGATATTTCAGAAACATAAATCCTCTCTCTCTCTCTCTCTCTCTCTCTCTCTCTCTCTCTCTCTCTCACACACACACACACACACACACACACACACATACACACTCACCATGCAGAGCAGTATAGCCTCATGCAACTGTACTTCCCAGCTAAGAATTGTTTATGCCCTGCAGTGTTTACTCACCTCATTTCAGGAGTGCCTGAATTTCAGGACAGAACTCCACTGACAAGAGATGAGAGGTGGCCTCACATGAGCACCCCATGCCTGAAATAGAGGGCAGACTTTCCTCCAAGACCCCCTCACTCTATCTGCAAGCACAGAGTGCTGACACTTGCTTTTAAATCCCCGTCTCCAGCACAGCAGCACGGTCCCTCCCTGTCTTCTTCCCCTGCTCTCCAGTCTCCTGTTGACCTGAGTGGCTATTCCACCTCCACCCTGGGCGACATTTTTGTGCCATGGACTCTACCGTGACTCCATCATCAGGATTGCCACCGAGAGGTCTCAAGCCTGCTACCACCACCAGAGTCTCAGAGGTATTTCTTACCTCTGGCTTTTCCGTTGTCACCAACCTGACCGTCCCCTCTCCATTTCTTTGAAATAATTTGAGCTGTCACAGCCCAGATAGTTGAGGTGCCTTCTTCCCTGGGTCTCGCCTGCAGTTCTGAAGGGGAGCATTAAGTACGTCTCTTTGTCTGGAGGCCTCCCCATCACAGTGGATCTAGCCACCAGATTCTTCCAGGTGTGAAAGTCTGCACATTTCCCCCAATGTTTCTCCAGAATTCGTGACTCCGCATACCTGCCTGTCCTGTACCTGCTCCAATACCATTGTCTCAGGTGGTGTGTTTTACTTTTAATGCAGATTTATCCATTTAAAAGAAAGAAAGGAAGGAAGGAAGGAAGGAAGGAAGGAAGGAAGGAAGGAAGGAAGGAAGGAAGGAAGAAAAAAAACTACACTCCCTGTCCTGTCCTCTCTCTCCTTCCCTCCCCACATCTCACTATTTTTCTTAAAAAGGATAATGCTCCTTACACTGTGTTCCTGGGTATGTAAGAGCATTTTGAGAGAGCGTGGGGAAAGGCTGAGTGTGTTGGAGGTTACACGCTGCCCAGACTACGTCCTGGAGAGTTGTTTGGACATCGAACGAATGAACAGTGGTGGCAAGAGTGAATTAAACCCAGCCCCAGGCACACTCTACAGGGCCTGGCTTACTTGGAGAACGAAATGTGTGAAGACTTATGGCCTGGTAGTTTTCTTGTCGCGCCTTTCTTCCAGCAAAGACTCTTCCCGGGCTCAGGCAGGTTTGCAGTTTCTCCTGAGACCCGGCTCAAACCGCTTGCATCAGATGCCCACAACGGTCTGCAACCATGACTGCGGAGCCCAGAACAGCTTCCGAGGATTGGGAGAAGAGTCTCCCAAGACCGCGAGTCAGTAACTCCTAGGAACCCCGAGCTCAGCTTGTATAGGTCCGGGACCTACGTTTGCAGTGTGGGCTGCAGGCAGGAGTGGGTGCCCGGGTCCAGCGGAGCAAGCTGAAGTTGCTCTAGCCGCTCTCCCACGTTCCTGAAATGGAACTCCGCTCTGGTTTAACTCTCTCGCGGGTTCCCAGACCGCAAACAGGCGCCGTCCTCGGAACGTCCCTAGTCGAGCTTTCCCGGGTTCCCAGGCTGCGCGCACTGCGCTCCCTCCTGGCGGCGCCGTGGACTCCCGGAGCTCCGGCCAGCGCGCAGCTGCAACCCGGCGGGGTGCAAGCATCTGGGCCCACTCTCGTGGACGCCTTGCCACGGACACCGGTGGGCCGCCGGCCGCAGGATCGCAGCTGAGAGACAAGAGTGGGGAGAAGGAGCGTGAGAAACGCCACACCAGCAGATAGGGGCAAGGACAGAGACTGAATGGCCAGATGTGGAGAAATAAGGCTTGTCCCAACTGGGCTCAGGAGAGAAACTTCAGAAAGCCTCTCGAGGCAGGGCGTCTACGGGGAGAATGGGCACTCATGTTGCCCACCAAGGAGAAACCAGCTGGCGGACGAGGATCTGGAGCAAGCGAGGAGAGTTGAAGGAGAAAACGCTGGTTATTGGAATTCTTGATCTTCGGAAGGAAAACAAGGAAAAAAAGTGCGTGCTTTTTAAATTTTTATTTATTTATTATTTATTTATTTTTCGGGAGCTCAGAGCTAAAGGCAGATCCCGGCTCCGCAGAGGAAACCGCCTCAGGTGCCAGCCAAGGAGGCCAGGCCTAACAAGCCTGTTTGAGAACCCCAAGTGGGGCCCAGACTTCTCCTTCCAGGGCGCGGGTGTCAAAGGACCCCTCACCTTCGGTGGACTGTCCTGCGTGAGAGCTTTTCAGGAAAGCGCTTTGGCTGTAGAAACGAGAAATACCGATGCAGCCCCAATACAACTGAAGCCCGAAGGGAGATTGCCCTTGCACGTGGAATTAAAGTTGGTGCAATGAAAACCTTTAAAAGAACACAAAACAAAAACGAAACTAAAAAAAAAAAAAAAAAAAAAAAAAAAAAAAAAAATTCTCAATTCTTTTTTTTTTCTTGATGAGCTCTGCGCACAAGCCAAAAACGCCCTGGCTGCGAATACAATAGGATACGATTTGATACACTGAAAACTACTTACATTTTAAATGCCCCTCATTGAAGTAAACCCACTTTAAAAATCGGGCTTTTTTTTTATTATTAAAAAAAATCTGCACACACCAAAATGTGCTATTTTGGGTCCCAGACTTAAATAGTCCACGAAGGCCGAAGTTAACACAGAACGAGTAAGAGCTCTCTGGCTTAATTGCCCGGGTATTGTTTTTCTTCTTTCCCGAATAAAACAGGCGTGGAAAGAGGCAGATTGGGCCACTGGCGGGGCGTCAGCCACGCGTCGGTGGCGCGGTGGCAGCGCCAGGTTTCCGCAGCTGAGCTAAGGCGGCAGGCGCGAGCCACAGCGCCCCCTCACCGCCCGCCGCGCGACTCTGGCCCGCGTCGCCTCCAGAAAGCTACAGGACAGGACTGTGTCAGGCGAGCGCCTGGGCCTTCGAAACTAAGGCAGATCCTTGAATCCTGGCCTTAATATCTGACTTGCCAGTGACCTCCACTGAAAACCCGGGCAGCTTAAATGAGTCTCCAGCCAGAACTGGTTCTAAATATTTCCGCCTCTGCAGGTGCTGTCAAGACTTGATCATGTTAACGGTGCTTGTTTTTAATTCTGCTACACACACCGGGAGGGTCCCCAGGAAGTACCCACAGCCTAGGTAACTGTTACAAGAGGCCGCTTTCTCTTTCCACGCTGTGACCCGACTTTCCTGCATGTCTCACATTGTTGGTTTCATTTAGGTGACTTGGAAAAGCAGGACCCAAGCACCAGGTTTCTTAAGAGACTGGTACATCTCAACACCCCCCACCTACCCTGGACCACCATGCCTTCCATGCCTCTTTTGGAAAGGAAAGTTGTTGGCACGGGTCTCAGCAGTGAATATTCAGAGCAATTTGAGCTAATCCCATGACTCTAGCAGCAGTGAGGACCGTCTGCCCAGGTTCCATACTTGGAAAGTGAATTTTCCTCATTGATTTTGTTGGTTTGGGTTTGTTTTGTTTTGTTGATCAAGCCAAGCTAAGAAAAGCAAAATTAGCCTTTTCAGACTTAGGGAGCATTAATGTGAAAGGGAGTTTAAACACCCCAACCACAATGGGGAACTCACTCGTTAATGTGCCTGTATAGGCACTTTAATTTGCCACAGTCAGTACCAATAAAATCGTCATGTAGTCAGATTCAACTGTTTAATTGCACAAGGTAGCCGGTTTTTATTAGTAACAGGCAGCGGTATGGCAATTTTAGATTTTGGTGGAGGGTAATTGCTGGAGGAAACACAGCGGACTTGGTCTAGCTAGGTTGCAGTGAACAGGGGGCTGCACTTCCGGGAAGTTTGTGGACAGGAGACCCTCCAAAGCAAAGCACACTTGTCTGGTTATGTAGTTAATTAATGTCCAAATCAGCTGCATCTAGGCGTATGGACCTGCTCCAATCTGCGGGTTTTATAATAACTGGCTGCTTTCTCTTCAATCCTTGGCAGAGGTCAGAAGCGGAAGGTAGGGCACACCCCACTGAAATCAGGGCAGGAAACTAGTCTTTAGGAAGGAAAAGATCAAGATCCATACAATCATCCCCCAGGTAAAAATTGGAGACTTCATAAAAAAACAACACACACACACACACACACACACACACACACACACACACACCACTTAAACCAATCTAATTGGAAGTTAACTAAATGCCTCCGCCTGACCAGTGATTGTTTGTTATACAGTACGTAGGATCTCACTAACTGCCTCTTCCCAGAGGAATTCCTTCCTAGGAAAACAAAAATACCTGAATATGCAGATTTGGCTCCACCCAGTTGCCCTGCACTGGGATGCTAGGGCAAGGTTTCTCTCTCTCTCTCTCTCTCTCTCTCTCTCTCTCTCTCTCTCTCTCTCTCTCTTTGCGATCTCATCTCTTCTAGAAAAAGGCTC